CCCCCCCCCCCCCCAAACAAACATTACCTATACAATTTACAACAATATATTTTTAGAATTTATTTCTAATCACCTTTTTCACTTTTCCCACTACTTTAATTCAACTGAAAAATTCATATACTTGACACACATATTTTGTAATTACTAGGTAATAAGATAATTAAAAATCGGGTAAGTGATGGGTGATGCTTTTCTGTACAGTAGGTTACAAGTGGGTTACTGTAATGGAAGGTGTTAAATTTGAATTCAATAATATAATATCATTGCATACAAATGACTCTATTTTAAATTTTCAATCCTTTGCTATAAAATTTGAACAGCTTAGCCCCCACGGTTCCTCTCAAATTGCGCTTATGCGTCTTGCTTGCTCAGAATCGTTTTTTCTTTTCAATGATTTATACAATTGAATTAAAATTTAACCATCGCAGTGATCTACTCATTGACTACGAAGTGCACTCAAAATCTAAAATAGGTACTGCATATCAACTTTCCTAGTTTTTTTGTTTATTTACTTTTAAGTGACTATATAGATATGTCCTACCACAAAATAAAATACAGGATAAAATGTTAAATTGTATTTTAGTTAATTTTTACTTGATCATGTTTTACTATAAATCGATTTTGATTTGATAAATCAGTAATTTTATATGTATATTGTATTTTATACTGTGGTAAATTAGTTTGAGTTAAATAAGATGCTAGCATGAGTATTTTTAAGCATTTGTGTAAAGTGATTGATTTGCATGTCAGAATAGAACACTGAATGGTCACATTGATGAAACTACTAAGTATGCACAAGATGAAAAACTAGTCAACACACATGTGGACAATTGTGTTAATAATAGTATTGATCAAGAGGTTTGTCATAATAAAAAATAAAACCATTGTTTAATGTACAAATGTAATAAATAATTTTTTAAAAAATGTTGACTTAGAATTCTGAGTATGGTACATGGAAAATGAATGAATTATCAAGTCGAGTTTCTGAATTAGAGGATTCGCTTTCAAAAACACAACGAGAACTTCACAAGTCCCAAGAAAATAGTAACAATTTACATCATGAACTAAGAGAAAATATTTCAATTAAAGAAGAACAAGTATACATAGCAATTATTTTCTATGTTGTAGTATTTAATTTTAACAATACATTTTAAATTTTATAGGAAGAACGGATGAGTTCCTTGGAAAAAAAATACATGAATTTACAACGCGAATCTACCTCTTTGCATGATTTAAATGATAAATTAGAGCAAGAACTTAGGCATAAGGAAGCTCAGTTGAAAGTATGTGTGATGTTTTTATTAATATAAATTTAATTTTTAATTTTGTTAATACATTTTTTCAGTTACAAGAAGAAAAGACACGTGCAACACATGAGAAGTTAGAATTATGTGAACAAAAATTGGCACAATTTGCAACACTGCCTGAGATAGAACAAGAATTAAAACAGCGAATGGAAGCCCTTACCCAGGTAAGGGCTCAGGTACGAGATTCGTTCAACAGATCAAACTTTTCTCAATTTTATTCTTTTTGTTTTTCTCACCCAACCTGTTGTCGAACTCGTATTATTTATTAGTTTAGACTTTAGTCATAGTATTTTACTTTTAATATATATTCAATTTTTATTAAGTCTTGGATTCCCTATTACTTCTTCTATTTAAGCTTTAAGCACGATTTCCTGCAATGTTTACAATTAAACATATTCTTTACTTAATGCATATTTTAAGATATAAACTAGAGTGCATATATACAGGGTGATCTACTATGTTTTATCATTTATTTACATATGGTAACAATAGAAAACACCCTTTGGATATATATTTATAAATAAGAAGGGTGATTTTTTAGATATACCTATTATGATAATATTTCAAAATATTTTAATAATTGTATGATTTTTATTTTTAAATTGTTTAAATGGAGATCCATATTTGTGTTCACAGCTTCTTCAGATTATAATACAGTAAAGCCTTCTTATAAAGGAAAAGAACAAAATTCCCGTGTAACCTATATCCCATATATTTTAGTCTTCCTATAATAGAAAGTCCTTTATAATGATAAAATCAATTGTTACTATGTGATAATCTGCTATAAGGAAATTTTACTGTATTCAAAAGTAGAATTATACTACCTGTATTTGTGTACTAATCTATACTTTGCTGCTCCAACAAATATCAAATGTTACACCATTAATTTTATAATATACAGATATCTAATCATATTGTTAATATTGGAAGCTACTTATTACTTTATAACCCCTGTGTTTGGTCTTTTCGTTTGCATTAAGCTCAATGTAATTGTGTATCGGTATATTATAAAATCAATGCTCATAGCTAATTCAAAATTAGATTCTAATTCATCCATAGTTTCAGAATAATATTTCACTATTTTTGTTTGAATAAAAGAACAAAATACTCGAATGCAATCTAAAATTTAATCACTAAAAAATATAAAAGCTTTTGATTCATTTTCTATAGTACAAAGTTATCTTTTTCAGCATAGAATAATCTTTTAATGTTCAAATCAAATTATCTGTAAACCATAAAATATATTTACTGTGTTCAAACAAACAAATGCTTTTTCTTCTATACTCTAATCGCCAAGAGAATTTGAATGCACACAAAACATGCTTTGTATACCCCTGCCACAACCACCCATATTATTTTGGTGAACAGAGTATATTATCGCAATATTTCTGTAATTGACAGATTTTTATTTTAAATAAATTTTAAATATACAAATAAGTAAAAAGGATTTGAAATCCTATATTTATATAATTTAGATACATTTTTAAGTTTAATAAATTCAAACTTTTATAAATAAGAATTATTTCAGTTTTCATTTAATTCTAAATCTTAAAAAAAATACCCACTTGCATTTGTTTTTAGATAATTTTGGATTGTAAAAAAATTAAATAATTTAATGTATGAATATTATTAATTTTTATTGTTATGCGCTATATGCATTACATAATACATATTAAAATAAATTAATAAAATTAATACCTAATTAATTTAGGCTCAAGAAAGGCACGGTACAGCTGAAGATCGTATTCAAAGGTTAGAATCACAGGTAGAAGAGAAAAACGCTGAAGTAATGAGAGTCAATCAAAGGCTAAAAATGAATGAAGAACATAATACAAGACTGTCAGCTACTGTTGACAAATTATTATCAGGTTATTACAAACATTAATTTTTGATTTTTGAAATTTTTAATTTATTATTTATTTATTACTGTATGTTTGTATAATTGTTCTAGAATCTAATGAACGTCTTCAAGTACATTTGAAGGAGCGCATGCATGCTTTAGAAGAGAAAAACATGCTGACGCAAGAGCTAGAAAAGTGTCGTAAACTAGTCGAAGAAATTCAAACAGAAAAGGTTTATTTGTTAAATATAATGTCATTACAACCATAAATGTTAAATATTTAAATTAATTTTAGACTGAATTATTAAAAGAACTTGGAAAGGCACGCATGGAAATTGATAATATTAAAAGGCAAATGCTCCAACAAGAGATCGCTTTTAATATTCAACAGACTGATGCATTAACAAGGTTAGTGTATAAGTAACTAAATTTTTTCAGTTAAATACATTAAATAAACAAATTTTTAGGAGTTTGTCTCCTGGTGGTCCTGATCAAGGGGGTTTTGTTCAAAGCTCTAGTCAACATTCAAACTTTGATACTCATTCATTATCACGTCGATCAATGAAATCTAGAATGTCTCCAATGGAATCAAACCATGCAAAGGTACTTAAGTACATGTAACTTTTATTGTATGTATTAATAGCCATTAACTGTTAAACTCTGAACCACAATTAAAAATGGTATGGTTGCTCCATGAATCTTGAAAAGTGTCTGCCGTAGAAATTAATCGCTATTGGCTGCTGGAAATTTTAGTACTAGAGCTTATATTACTTTATAGTAACTATAAATGCAGTTACCATTCAAATGTAAATTGTAGTTGCAATTTTAATGACATATAAGTGCCAGTGTTGCAATTTCTGGATGTTTAAAACTGATTATAGAGATTTCTTTAGGTAGGAACTTTTCAAGTATGAGAATCATGTGTTGAAGGGCAACTATACTATCTATAGCCGTGCTATGAACTAATCATATTAATATATTTAATACAGTGAAACCTCTAAGTACGGTACATTCTCAATTAGGTTAGGTTCAGTTTGTAGAATATGAATAGTTTGTTCCTAAAATAACTTCTGCTATTAAGCAGTGTCTGTAAAAAGAAGTTTCACTGTATTCACAATAGAATACTATAATTTATCCAACATAGATATTTTGATATGTACCTTTTTTATAGGAATGGGAAAAATTACAACAAGCCCACGTCTTAGCTAATGTACAGCAAGCATTTGATGCTTCTAGCGATGTTGATATGGATGGTGGGGATGATGATCTTGATGATGAGGCAGGCATGTATTGTGATACAGGTGAACCACTGTCTCCTTCGGCAGCAGATGCTCAGACATTAGCTCTGATGTTACAAGAACAATTAGATGCAATCAATACAGAGATAAGACTAATTCAAGCTGAAAAGCAAAATACAGAAGCTCGAGCTGAAGAGCTTGAATCTAGAGTTGGTAGCATGGAACATGTTAATCTATTATCCAGAAATCGTAATTATGATCGGCAGTCACCTCCAGCTAGTGGCCGGTCGACTCCTCAGAGAGAGTACTTACATAAATATCATTCTGTAAGTAAAATAATTTTACACAATATAAATGATACACAAATAATTAAAATAAATTAAATTTGGTTGGTTTTACTATTAAATTTTAGTAATAATCTTTGTTAAATATTAGAGATCATATTCAGTTATTTAAGAATTTTCATTCCATTTAATGAGTATTCTGTGGCAAAATTATTAATTTGTATACATTTAGATAATAGTGCTAAAAATAGTTTTACTAAATTATAAAACTGGTATAATAAGTATAAGATTTAGTATTTATTGTGCTATGATATTTTTCAAATCATCATAGAAAAATTCGGGTGGTCTACCCTTCTATTGCTGATATGTTGTAAGGTAACATGACTAACTCTGCATTCTTATTGGTCTACTGTTACTTTTTATTTATCGCATGCTACGACCATTTAGTAATGCCCTCTAAGACTGGTGATGGCAAGTGCCAATGCAGATCCTACTTTTAGTTTTTAATTATTTAAATTTAGTCATCTAATATTTATGATTTATACTATACTTGGTGTATAAAAGACTTAGCCTGTGTAATGTGTATATTGTAAAAATAACGACAAACTTATATTAATTTTTAGCTTCAACTTAATGAAGAAGATGACTTGGGTATTTCATCAGCCCAAGATAATAATGGAGCAGCAAGTCCATTAACAGCGCGTTCAATGAGATTAGAGCGAGTTGCCCAAGCCTTAGCTCACAGTCAAGAAGAACTGCGCAGGTTAGTTTTGTTACATTTTTTAAATAGTTGAAAAATAAAAAAATAATGAATAATATAGTTAACATATAATTTTTTTCATTTGCTATAGGCGTGCTGGCATCAATACTGTTCCATCAACATTAAACATGATAAACTATAACTCTTCATCATTAAGGTATGTATTGCAGTAATTTAAATTCACTTATTTACTGATTAGACATTTTAAATATGGTTAAAAACTATGTAGAACATGCATATCATTTCATATGTATCATAATATATTGTACATATATTTTCAGTCCATATTTTATTATTATATATAAGAGTTAGTTTTTTTTAATGTACAGGCACGCAAGCCAAATAAAAACACAGTATTTATATTTTGAAAATAAATCTTACTATCACAATATTATTAATGTTACTATTTTTTTAATGAGCTACAATCAATTTATGTGATGTTCATATTGAATAGATAAATCATTTCCTTGTATATATATCAAAATCATTAAATGTAAGCTGTAAATGCCCTCCTTAGTGCTTTTTAGTTATTTGTAGTAGCCGTTGGTTTGGGTTTGTAATATAGGGGTGCCAGTGGGTTTTCTACGCCTCCATCACCGTTGTCCTCTCGTCACAGCAGTCAAGATTCTTTGCATCATGGTCCGACATTGATGGGTCAAACTGGAACGAGTCTGTCAAGTATATCAAGTGCTTTCAGTGTCTCTCAAATGCAATCATACCATCACACATTGCCGTCATCGGCGTCTGCAGCGGCACAAAAGAAAAAAGGAATAAAATCATCCCTTGGGCGATTCTTTAGTAAAAAAGAAAAGGTATTGTACCTACTTAATGTAATCCAATTTACATTTATATGTATATATTTCCTAAATTGATTTTTTTTACAGCAGGGAAAGGGCAAAGAGGGAATGAGTGGTATGTTGAGTCACATGTCATCTTCTGATATGTCACTGGCTAGTTCCTATGCTGGAGATGATACTTCCAGTTTATGTAGTGCAAGCTTAGGTCAGAAAGGTGATTTTGACAGAAGAAAAAAGAAAAAGTAAGTATTGTTAATTTTATGTTCCATTTAATGGTTGTCACTTGTCTATTTTATCTGTTTTGTAGGCATGAATTACTTGAAGAAGCAATGAAGGCTGGAACTCCATTTGCCTTATGGAATGGGCCAACTATTGTGGCTTGGTTAGAATTATGGGTTGGAATGCCAGCCTGGTACGTGGCAGCTTGCAGAGCTAATGTTAAGTCTGGAGCCATAATGAGTGCTTTATCTGATACTGAAATACAAAGAGAGATTGGAATAAGTAATCCATTGCATCGTCTGAAGCTTAGATTAGCCATTCAGGAGATGGTATCTTTGACAAGTCCATCAGCTCCGGCAAAATCTCTTCGTTCAACTTTAGCTTTTGGTGATATGAATCATGAATGGGTTGGAAACTATTGGTTACCATCATTAGGACTGCCACAATATCGATCTACATTCATGGAATGTCTTGTAGACGCTAGAATGCTTGATCATCTGACAAAACGTGATTTTAGATCACAGTTAAAGATGCTGGATGGTTTCCATCGGTAGGTTTATTTAATTGTTATTTATTGTTAGTAACGCTCGCTAGGGTAAAGAACATAAGTTGAAAATAAAATATAATATAAAGTATATTTTCATCAGTATAATATATATTTTTAATTTATTGTATACTGTTATTTAGAACAAGCTTACAATTTGGTATAACATGCTTAAAACGGGTGAACTTTGATCGAAGTCAACTAGAAGAAAGACGCCGTATTGCTGAACACGAAACTGTAGACATTTTAGTATGGTCTAATGAAAGAGTAATTAAATGGATTACCAGTATTGGTTTGAAGGTTTGTATATTGATTGAAACTGAAAAATAACTATCACAACTATCAACTATGTGTGAAACTGACAATTTAAAATTTAGGAATATGTTAACAATTTAATTGAATCTGGTGTACATGGTGCTATCATCGCGCTTGACAAAAATTTTGATTCTAACACTCTTGCTATGGCACTTCAAATACCTCCACAAAACGCACAAGTATGTTGACAATTTTTTAATGGATGAATAAAAAAAAAGATCAAATATTTTTTTTCAAATATTGTTAATAGGCTCGCCAAGTGTTAGATACAGAGTTCAATAAACTATTGACCATATCAACAGAACGAAGATTAGACACTAGTTGTAGTGATCTTGGAGCCTCCTGATATTACCCATCCGCTTCTCAAGATTAAAATGAGAGGCGCCGGTGGTATTGACTGTTTTAACTGTGCCGCATCAGCACTCCTTCAAGTTGTCTTAGCGGCATGGATAGTTATTGCATTTTTAAAAAGCAACGTTTTGTTTTTTTATTTTATTTTATCCTTTTCATATTCTAAGTGGCATTTTTAAGTTCAAAAATAATTTTTGAAACAATTGTTTTTTTTTCTGATTGTTGTTAATTAAAAAAAATTGTTAATAACTTCATGGGAATAATTACCATTTAACTTATTCATTAATTCATTGACTTAAATTCGTTCAAACAATTTTTTTTTTTTAATACGTTTTTGATAACGTTTGTTGTATGTATAAATTTATTTAAAAATTTAAAAAAAAAATGTATCAAAGTTAGTTTTCTGTAATAGTTCCCCTAGATGAGAAGGATACAATAATGACCGAATGTGCACAATTTCCGTGGGATTAAGTACCAAAGTATTGTTTTAATGTATCATGTGTATACTATTAGCATTAAGAAATATTTACATAACCATGATGTACTAATTAGTGGAACAAATATGTATAAAAATTGTTCTGACAAAACCTCATACATATAACCGCGATGCACAACGTAAATGTATTTATCTCTTCTTTCGCTGTTTTTGTTCAGTTTGTTTTAAAACTGAAATACCTAAGGTAAACTGTATAAGTTTACAATTTAAATGTTTTTCTTTTTAAACATATTATTTTCCTTCTTTTTTTTTTTGTTAGTGGCCAGTGTTGTTCATGTATTTTAAATTATCATCCTATCCTGTTGTAGTAAGTAATGTTTTAAATATATATTATTGTATATATATTTATTATATAAATTATATTATATATATGTACCTACTATTTATATAAAATATACATATAATATATATATATTATAATGGTATACATAATTATTATTATTATTATTATTATTATTATTATTATTATTATACACTGTATGAACTGTTTATAATAAAAAAAAATAAGTTTTATCGGTACATAATAATTTATTCCTATAGATTCACCAGTTTGTTATTGTATATTGAAACTGACATTTAGGCCATGTTGTCTGAACTAAATAAAAGTTATTGAATTTTTAACCTAGTGTTGTTTATAATGTTAATTGAGTTTAAATTGATTACACAAAGTTGACAAATTATTTGCCAACCTTACTATCAGTTGAATAATTTTATTTTTAAATGATATCCATTAGATTTCTTAAATGCTATTAATGATCATTTGAATAATATGGTGTGCGCGCAGCTCATTAAATAAACTGAACTAATAGTTATTGTCTGAACATTTGTGTTATGTTATGAAAATATAAATTTCTTTTTTAAATACATCCTCATTTCATAAAAGTAACATAACATGCATTATGTTTCATAACTTGGTTTTATATAAATAATGAGTGTATCATAATTGTGTTGTGTTCTATAAACATGCACTAGTGACAATCGCTGTGACTCTGGTTAATGAGTGGACATTAAATACTATACGTTCGGCAATCGAAACCAAAACATATATTTCAATTACAACTTGGGTACTAGTATCTTAGGAATGGTAAAACTTTTTTAACAGAGGGCGAAATAGTAAAAACAAAAATGTTCAACATGCGAAAAATGCATTCATACGCAGTAGCAGGCTGTAGTTTACCCACAATTAAGTTATATTATATTTTCTTAAATTTCACTTTCTCTTGAAAGTCACACCATGTATTACGTGTTGCCTTCTTAGATCATGTACCATGAATATAGCTAATCTAGGCTAATTCTTGATGCCGTAAATAATGAATTTATGAACAAACCTATAAGTCAGGCTGTTTGTACTTAATTCAGTTTGGTTATTCTGATTGAGTTATCAGTTGCCCACACAAGTGCAGTAATAACCAAGGTTTTTAGTCATTTTGACATCAAATCACAGGTATAAACGGGCATGACATGATCTAAGGTTGTTTCCCTCTTACTAGCTTATAATATAGCAAATTTATTTTCAGCAAAACCAATTTTGTGTAGTTCACTTACTACATTGAATTGACCTATTATCAGACTCAAAGATAACAATTTTTATATTTTTATTTTTATTAAGAAACGACCATAAAATATTACAAATCTTTTATTCGTGACTCTCAAAAAAAAAAATATCATAAAAAACCAACAAACACATAAAATAACTCACTCAACAGCATTAAAGCTAACAACAAAATTTGTTTTGTTGAATTTTATGTGTATATAAGACTGAGAAAATACAATATCATGAGGGTTTCGAGACCTCTTATATAATTAAAGACTTGGTTGTAGAAACAATTTTTTATTAAGAGTACAAATTGCAAACAAATAATTAATATATATTTTTTTTCTTTAAAAAACTATAATATATATGAGACATTTATATAAATTGGAAAAATTGATAAAGAATATTTAAAAAAAAAAATATTACATGAAACATTTTTATTTTTATATATTATAAGTATTAGGGTGAATCACACATATACTTAACTCTTTAATTTAAAAACAGTGTGTATATACTTTATTGTGGTGTTTACGAAAATATAATTTAATTCAAAAAGACACATAAAAAGGTACTTATTGTAATGGGAAAATAAATGCAATTATGTAGAAGAAACAAAAATAAAATAAATATTTTATAATTTCTAAACACAAATTCTATAATATAACTCTTTCTACATTGGTAAGAAAAAAAATTATTCAAAAAATTTGTTTGTTTAATTTTTGCATACGGGCAATATATGAAAATCTATTAAAAGATGACAACAGTTAAGATAATATAATAGAACAATAATTTTTTTCTTTCTTTTTTCCTTACTAAATTAAATAAGAGTAATAATTTGTGATGTAATGGTTACGTTAAATTTCAGTTTGAAGATATTTAAAAAAAATGTGTTCATACAAATATAGAATTGTCAACAGTTTAAATGGATGCACGAATTATCTATAAAACATATTAAAACAAAATTTATTTGGATACAGTTTGTTTTGTACCTATAGTAAGAATATTATCGAGGAACTTGCAAGTGATAGTCAATGACTGGTGTATTAACTTTTAATTTAATAATAATTGAATAGCTGTATTTATCGATTTTTTCCCCATTCATTTTGGGTAGTCAAAATCTGTTCTATAATATCAATACTAGTTTGATGGACATTTATTTATAAACATTTATCAAAGAATTGGCCTCAATAACTTATTCATCTCCTCATCCACCAATCATCTGTTCCTGGCAATTTATCACCTTGATTACCCTGTCCTTTTAAATTTCCAATCACCCCCATCACTGCTTTGTTTACTGCAGCTGCTACCATATCTGAATTTAAATTCTTATCATTTGAATAACCATTATTGACCGATTGATGCCCACTTCCTCGACTATACATCCGGTCATAGTATTCCTGATCATAGTCCCAAATGTTATCTTGGGACCAGGCTTGTGGCTGATTGGGCGATCGTTCTCTTCTCCTATCCTTAACTCTGTCTCTACTATCGTAATCATTCCATTTGGGAGCCATTTCTTTTTTTGGTATAGCTTCTGTACACACCACACTACAATCACCAACTTTATGATCTTTTCCAATAACTTTTTGAGCTGATAAAGGGTCAGTAAATGTCACAAATGCAAAACCTCTATGTGGTCTAGGTAAAAATAAATCTGATATTTCTCCAAATTTGATAAAATAATTTTTTAATGCGTCTTCATCCACGTCTTCAGACACTTGACCTATAAATACTTTACGCGGAACTTTATTTACATGTTTGTCCTTACTATTTGGTATACGTACATCACACCATCGACCTTCAATGTTATGTCGTTCTAGCATAACACGGACTTGAGATTTCTTATGCTTAAACCTGACAAATCCGTACCCTTTTGATTTACCATTAAGATCAGTCTTAATTTGAGTATATTCTACTTGACCAAATTTGGTGAAATATTTTTTCAAATCCTCTTCAGTTACCTTCCACGGTAAACCCAGCACAACCAAATCCATATCAGAAACACTGTTATCATCTTCTGCCTTATTACAATCATCAATTTCACTGTGCTTACGTTTTTCTGTGGGTGTATTTCTAAAATTACACATATACATACGATCTAACCAGCCATCTTCGGGAGGGTACAACTTTCCTTCATTGAGACGTACTATACGCAACCTATTGTTAACACGATACTTCAAACCAATTACTCCAGGATATTGTGCTTCTAAAGTAGATAATAGAAGACTGTTGTCGCCTTCCGTAGGCATGTCAATGGGATCACTGTTTTCACTTGCTGATACTTGCACATACATGTCTAAGTAAAAAAACAAAATAGATAATCTTTTTTAGTGTTTTTTTAAAATTTCAAAATTACTTTTTCAAAGAAAAATAGTTATATCTAAAAATATTTTTTTAATAAGGCATTTTTCAAAAAAAAAAAATACAGGTACCTATGTGATAAATTAATTTTTGATAACCGAACTAACTTTAATATTTGGGAAGGGAAGTAAATCGATAACTATATAACTGTAATATATTATAATATATATATCCACCTAATCAAAAAAAAAAATCGAGCTATTTAATAGGCTCGTGTTTGGCGTTATTAAAGTTTTTAAATCAATAATTATTTTGAATCACTTACCAAAATATGTGCAAATATATTAGTATCGAATATATTATGATTCTTATGGATCTAAAGTGTAAAAAACGATACACTCAACTGATCGAACGGCGTATCCAAAACTATAATCTCCGATCAATTATTTATGAAATTATTGAAAACCAAATTACCAATTAAAGAATTATTCAAATGTTGAAGATCGGTTACAGTTCAATTTATTTAGTAATTTTCAGTGAGCCTTTAACAAGATTGGAAAAACAAGAATAATGTTGTTATGACTCAAAAACCAAAAAACCCACAGCCTTATGCAGTTATGCGGAGTGCGGACGATGTTTCTCGTCAGGCGCTATCACAAAAGCCGGCAGCCATATGCAATACGGTGGTGGCAACCAAAAATGATAACGGTGGACGCGTTTGCCGTAAACCCATATACCCAACATGACCAAACGGTAAATAAAAATGGTGACACACCAAAAAGATACCAGAAAAGTAACCACACGACATAAAGCCACGCGATAACGACAAAAGGTCATTCGAAAGAACACGATCATCATAATCCGACAAAATACCATCGCACCACACTACCAAACGTGTATTACGATAATGTTACCTTTTTTATATCGACAAAAAGTCACTTAAACAAACTATTATAAACTATTATCGAAATGAATTATGTTTTTGGCTCTGGATTTGAAACAGTAATCCACTAGACTCCAGTTATTATAGGTACTACTAGACAGTAGACAAGCAATGAGTATATGGAAAGCGTCACAACGCAGAGGGTGCTTTTTGATTACTCAATGCGGGGTAGCAAGGTAAGTTTTGAAGATATATAGATTATTTTTTTCTTCTTAAAGATAGCCTACTGCGAGATGACTATGCTATAATTGTTATAGACAGTTCTTATCCAGTAGTAGGTATAAGGTCTATGTAGTAATCAGATATTTAACTCTGGCATAGCATTTTAAAATGTTATGGACACCTGAAACAAGTGGAATAGTTAAGAATTTGATTTAGAAGAGTGGGATTATAGATTTTTAGTAAAAATCTGTCATTTACTACCTTCAAATAACTCTAATTAAACCTAAAATTAAACTCTAATATCAATCTCTACATTGGACAAAATTTTAAGTGGTTAAGAGCCATTATCTGTTTTGTTATTCTCACACGCTTAGATCTGGCCGCGTGACATAGAGGAAACGCATTCGAGTCAGATCATTTTTACTATTTTTGAGCAACATTAGAGTAAAATCACATCACCTATTGCAATTTGCAATAGGCAATAATTATTAATTTGAAGTCGGTTATATTATTTTGTATTATTGTTCGACTTTAAAAATTTAAATGCTGTACATTTAAATTAAATATATTATATTTTTTAGAGGCTATAAGTTAAACCAACAGATTAAATAAATAATTTTATAAAACTCGATTCAATTTCCTTGAAATCTTGTGGAATTCGGAATCATTTTGAATCATCTTTCACATCTTCGATCTTCAGGATTAACTTTGATAGTTTGATCAATCATAGATGACATTTTTAATGCAAAATCTCTTATAAGTGGATATTTTTCAAAGGGTAATTCTTTTCAAAAGCACACGTCCATGATAAATTAAATAGGTATGTTTGTGACATCTAAAAAAAGAAAATGATGTTCAAAGTCTAATCAAAAATCATAATACAACTCAATCAATACTGTACAAAATATAAAAATCATACAATTATAATAGGTATGTATAAATATTTAATAGGTATATCATTTTAAATTTAAATCAGAAGAAAAAAACATTGATATTATGTGACATTTAAATTTAAAGCCCTGTCCGTGGGTTTCATTATTCTTTGAAAACACAATATCGTATATTATTATTTATACTAAGTGTAATGAAGCTATATAAATAAACAAATGATTACAAGGTCTATGGGTTTATCATATTATATAATATCTGACGTATATAGAAATTCATTGAAGACAATTGTAATAATTTCAATGAACAAATTTTACACCAATAGTCGAACCAGTTAGCAGTATCTAGCTGTATGTAATAAAACATGTACTCACATATTTCTTTACGTTCAGATTATTTCCATACAATATCTCCATACTTTCAAGTTTCAATTTGAAAAGACGTGAACGGATTAAGATTTCTGTTTGTTCGGCAGGTTCAGCTAGAGTTCCCCGGAAGAGTCGATGTTTACGCGATGATGTACTTTTTAGACTTAAATTTAATATTTATTACCACGGCAACAACCCAAGCGCTCCGTCTTCATTTCAACAAGTTTAAAACGTACCTATTTTGCCTATACTATACGCCGTGTAAGGGTGACCTCACACTGGTAAAGCAAGATTGACCGAAGAAATGTAAGTCATATTTAGTCATTTTGCTTTAGTCATAATAAAGCATTGTTGTCGCTCACTAGATAAAACATAGTCAAATAAAAATATATCAAGTAGTCGCTAGCTTCCTAGCTATTCCTATTTTATGGTTTCTTTTAAGAGAAATTGAAAACAGGAAGAAAATAAAAAAAAACTTTGGGTTCACCCTTTGAACTTGAAACGAACTGAAAATAATACAATTAAATGTTTTATTCATGAATTCCGAAATGACGAATGTAAATTTAGAAATTTTACATGAACGAGTACCCACACGTTTAATTATATTCTAGAAATACTTAACGATGAAATTCGAAAACCTGATACTAATTTCAGAAAAAGTATCATTCCAGAAGAGAAATTATTGGTGACATTGAGGTAAGTTAATAACAAATTCTAAATAATTAGATGTTAGATTCTGAGCGGAGCATAGCGAAATAATGTATTGATTTTACAATGATGTGTTTAAAAAAAAAATTCGTTTATTTTACACAATGATTTATCATTGAATTAAATTATAACATATCCATTACAACGACATGCTTGACAACTACTGAACAGCAGAGCGTTAGTTAGTTATCTATATGCAATGGCGCAACTAGACCTTTAAAACGCAGGGTGCTAAATCTGTGAATGCATCACAGAGTTGTGGTGGTGGGGGGGGGGGGGAGAGCCACCCACACCCCCCTGCACCTAAACCTACAATACTTGATAAATTAAAATTTTAAAATACATATTAACACACTTCACATAAATAAAAGAAAATAAATTAATAATTCTCTTTTTTTCTAAAATATCAATAACATATTGGTACATTTTAATTTCATAATCTTGTTAATAAATAACTAAGATGTCATATACATTTTAAATCAGCATAATTTTTCTGGGTTTCATGCAGTATAAATAATTCTGCAACTATGTTATGTGAAATAGTTACAGAAAAGTTCATCGACGGCCATATGAATAGATTATTAAATAGATTAAGTTATGTTATCGTTTTGCAAATAAATTACCCTCACGGTATGAAAAATATAAGATGGGGGTGACTTCACGCTACACCCCCTTTTGAGCTTCGAATTGAAATATGCTGCTAACATTTTGCACATAGCCGCTAACTTATTTATAATTCCGAGTCCAAAAATTATACCAATCATTGGTGTATATACGTAGGCATAGTTTATAGTCTATTTTAAAATTATATTATGTAATACACAATTGAAATATACCGCTTACAGAAGTATTTTACAGAATATATCGGGCTACTATTTAATGTAAGTTTAATATAGAATAATTGTTTCATACCCTTATAGTCTTAATACATGGTAATATTACAATAAACATAAATTAATAATTTATTTTTTTAAATGTATTTATTAATTCTTTTTACTCTATATTTGTAGGAACATAACATGGGTTATTGAATATTATAAGCTCGTGGTTATCAAATAAGAGCTCACATTAATTAATAACAATTTTTATTTTGTTTTGCAAATAAATAGATTATGTTTTTCAGAACTTCAAATTTTCTTCATTTTAAATTTACTTTATTAATTTTTAATTATTAAAAATTGAAATCGTAGTTCATGGTTCTCGTCATTTATTACAAAACGTCAGGTCGATACATCAAAACCATTTTTCGCTACCAGACTGTTTCAATCATTTGGGACTTTTTCTCATTTTGGTGTCGGATCCTGGAGTCATGTCACTATAATAGAATAACTGGTAAAAAGAAAATTGAAAAAAAAAATTGATTTAATTAATTATTGATTCTTATTACTTTTATTTATCTTGTAACAAACGCTTAATATAAATTTAAAAATAATAAAATATAACCTTTTTGTCTTTTTGTTTAATTAAAAAAAGACATCTCTTATTGCTGTTGACTTTTGTACCAATGTACATGTCTTTTTTTTTTTACTCTTTCACATATAAAATTACATGTGATTATATTTTTGTTGAGCTAGGAGTACTTTTAATTTTTTTTGCCGAATCTTTGTGCACTTCCCATCTATTTACACGGCTTACATACGCTATATAATGATCATGTCCATAAAAAACTGCTCCGGATAATATAAATCTAAAAATTATTTAAAACAATTAATTAAATAATATATTATTTTGAAATAATTTTATACAATATCTGTTATTGTCAATTGTCAGACTACACTGCAAGTCAGCCAATGAGTACTCTTGATATTCAGTAATTTAATCTGTTTCAATAAATAAATGATTTACTAAAATTCTCGTTACATTTAAAAATCCCAAACAGTTTAGTTCTGTGTATTTAGTTTTTTTACTTCACTGTATTCTTTCAAACTAAACTCCATATCATTGAGATTGCTGAATGATGATTTTAAAATTATTGATGGACTTGGTATAGTTTTTGTTGACGTAGCACAGTTGAAACACAGTCGTTTTTCAACAGCGGATGGCACACTTTCAAACCACGAAACTTATTTAAGGAGTTGTGAGTTGTATATAGCAAAAGATACATAAGACTGCGAGTAAGCTGCATTAATATTTTCTTTTTTAGATCAGGTGAAATTTGTGAAGTTGAAATTTCGAAAAATTTTCTAAAATATGCAAATTAAGCACAATAACGTAAAAAAAATCGGTTTCCGGCAAAATGCATGAAGTATGCAAAATATACACATTCAAATTTTGGATTTGGTATGAATTTATTTCGCACTCTGCTACATTTTACAATAAATAAAAAAAGTATGCAAATGCTACAAGTCCCGAACCTTGATCATAAGGTTTTTTCCCCCGTCACTTAAATTTATGTGATAGCCTTAGTTAGATACCTACACGGCTGTATATATATTACATTATTTATTACACTATAGTGTAGTACTGTAGTAGTATAATATAATCACACAATTTTTTAGCAAATACTGCTAAATAATATTGTTTGATAACATATTAATGCCGAGCCCAAAGAG